GAAATAATTAACAAGTTTAGGACAAAGGTTCTAGGAGGGGGAAAGGTGGCTTCATTGGAAGGGAAAGCCTTGCGCTTCCATTGGTTTAAGGACGATCTCCAGGACCCGCCATATGAGGACGAGAATGGGGACCAGGAGCTTGGACTACCATAAACTGCGGGAAGGAGGAGAGATCTGCAGAAGAAACCGCAAAGGGAGGGAATATCAGACCCACTTAAAATAAGACTAACTTCACAAGGACAGGACTGGGATACAAATGACGCTGGGGCAAAAGAGAGGGAGCAGCAGGGAAGAGACGAACAGCCAAGGAGGTTAAGTATTGAAGAGAGAGAATAAGGGACAAGGGACATCAATTAAAGTGTCAGGAGAGGAAGCAGGGTTTAGGGTTTAGGGTTTTATAACACTTAAAAGGCAGAGAAAGGGGTTTTGGGTAACAGGGGGGAACACAGCTTTTGTGAAGAATTGGTAAAAAAAGGAGGGTAGATCACAAGGGAGGATCTCTTTCTAGGTTTAACAGGGATTTCTGGCAGAGCTGTTAGGGCAGATCTGAGAGGGAAGAGAGACTCAAGGCAAGCTGACAGTCCATCCTCCACCAAGGGCGGAGTAATCAATGCTGTTCAGGTGTCCTCCGGCCAAACGGGAGGAAGCGTGTGTGTTTATTCTGTAATGTTTTCAGCTGTGACTTGCCAGTGGAATAGGAACCGGACTGACGCTCCCCAGAATAGAAGGAGCTAGGTCCATAAGGACCTATTTAAAAAAAAAAAAAGAAACCCCACACAGCCGCGCTGCAAAAGCTCTAGATCGGAGTTGAATTGGCAATGATCCGATGGTGAACAAATCTATGCTGCACTGACACACCCGTGACGGTCGCAATCTAGATGAACAGCAGAGTAATACAGAGTAACAAGCCATCAGAATATAGCACAGTGACACAGAGAAAATTGTCGAGCCCTCAGCGTAGGCACCCGCACTAACGCATCAGCCAATTCCATTGCAATATACTGTGATTCCAATTGCGTTCCACTGCATCATTGTCACTCCTCTTAGCCCATTTCAAAGACCCTGCCAGCTGTGACACATGAGAGATTGTTAGCAGCCTCAGCCAGCCTGGTAAAAAATGTTGGCAGCCATGGTTTTAGTGATTGTTATGCCCCTGCCCAATGTGACTGGCAAAACTGGAAGGACACGACAAGTGCATGTCCACAAATTATTAGAAGTAGAGATGGGAGCCCTAAAACCCAAGGACAAACTTGGGTTTTCCCACATGCGTGACGTGCATGATGGCAATGCTTCTGTTTTTCTCTACTCTGATGATTGGATTCTGCTTCATCCACTGCTTCTACTGATGTGTCTGCTGCTTCTGCTGATGCTTCTGCTGATGCTGCCGCTGCTGATGGTTTATTTATTGCAACTGTTGGAGTTTGTTTATCACACAACAGTGAAATCATCAGTGCTTGCGGACAGGACAGAGAGGATGGCGAGCTTAAGGGTGGTGATGTAGAAATTGAGGTTCCCATGTTGCTAGAAGGGCTGCCTATGCCAGATGACATGCCGACCCGTCGGTTATGCCTAAGCTCTCGGGAGTTGAAGCACTGAAGGTGTGGAGATGGTTGGGATCCTCAGAAGATCTGCTAGTTTTACAGCCTTTGGACCTGCCACAATAAGCAGCATCTACAAGGCTGAATGATGGTGCCCCTCAAACCGCCTCCTCGCACTTGATGGTGTGCAGGTCCCTGGGAACCTGGGCAAGCTGTTTCGGACAGCGGTCGCCCCCTAGGGTGGGATGGGGTGTTCTTGCTTCCTGACTGCCACAACCCCCTCAATGGAAAGACGATCCGTGCATCAAGAGGTGTCACTTTCCATATTCCCGTTCCCGTTGGGGGCTGGTCCCAGCTCCATTCCATGCTCTCCAAAAGGCCTCTCTTGAAGACTCTTTTTGCCTTATCCTTGGGAGTGAGGGGCAAGGGTTGTCTCAAGAGGCAAGGGAAGTCTCACAGCCCCTTGCCGTGCCAATGGGAGGCCACTTGAAGTCTCTCAATGTGGCTGTTGCAGGAGGAGGAGCCCAGGTCTCTTATAGATGGAAGGAAGGATAAGACAATCGCACAGCCAAAGACTCTCTCTCTCTCTCTCTCTCTCTCTCTCTCTCTCTCTCTCTCTCTCTCTCTCTCTCTCTCTCTCTCTCTTGCTTGTTGTCACTACTGTCTTATTTCAGCACACCTTGCGGCAGAGAAATTCAAGCTGCTTTTTAAGAGGCTTCATACATGATGGTTCTAGTTTCGTTCTTCATTTCTCTCCCCCCAAAAAAAAGAAAAGGGTAGTAGCGGGGATATAGCTTGAAGTACTGTTAATACTGTAAACATTGTGAATCTTACAAACATGGAAAATGCTGGGGTTATGAATACTACCTGCATAATGCCTTTGCAAACGACTACGTACACCAATTTCTTTGGGAATAACGGGGATAGTATAGAGGATACAACTAATGGAATCAGATCAGTAGACTGGCAAGACAAGGACTGTAGGGCTTATGAGAGACATAAGGGCAGTTTTTTGGGAGCTACAAGGCTCGTAAAGTTTGAGGAAAATTAGTGTGCCTGACAAGCGGCCGAGGGACAGCTGGGACCCCCAACCCCCTTCTCCCCCCTGTGCCGTGCCTTCTTCGGGATTACCCTGCTGCGTGCCTGGGTGCTGCTAGCAAGCCTCCCGACCAGCAAGGTAATCCCTGAGGTAGAGGTATGGGATGGGCCTGGGGCGGTCCGTAGCAGCCCCCCTTGCCTAGGTGGCTCGTACCACAAGGGTATGGCTGTTCCTTTCTCTTCTCATGCTTGCCGGATAAGCAACCGGACTGATAAAAGGGGCTTTGTGTTTGGGAAGAAAAAAAAAAAAAAAAAAAAAAAAAACACTTATCAACTCAAAGTCAAACTTCCCCCTTCACCCCAACTTCCCTCTCTCTTCCCTCCAAACGATTTTAGTCCATGTCCATGTCCATGTCCATGTCCCGAGTCCTGGACCAAGATTCCCACTTGGGCACAGTCCCATTTGGTCCCAGTCCCATCAGTCCTGGTAGGTCCTGGTCCTATAGTCCTAAGAGTCCGGTAGGGTCCTGCAGCTGAAGCGTCGTATGCCGGTAGAAGTCAGGCTGGTAACTGACAAGAAAAGTCCACAGTCGCAAACTCCAAATTTGCAGCAGCATCCCAGAAAAGTCCAGAGACTTCCGGAACAGACAATTGCAGCTGACAGGCCCAGGGAACTGGCACCGGTCCAAAGCACAGACACAGAGAGACAGAGAGAGAGAGAGAGAGAGAGAGAGAGAGAGAGAGAGAGGGGGGGGGGGGGGGGGGGGGGGGGGGGGGGGTTGTGCGCTACAAGGTCTGAAAAGAGCGGGTAAGGTTGAGAGAGAGAGAGAAAGGGGGAGAGAGTGAGTTACCTGTTTGTCGCATTTGAGGATGTGGCCATAGACTCTTGGACGCGAACTCAATTTTTGTACAATGATAATAATTGTTTTTTAATCTATCTCGCTGGGAGCTGCTAAGCCATCTCATGACCTGGTGTGAATCTTTGTGAACTTTCTGTGTTTGCGGTTGGGATTCTAGAGTTTGGATCGAGTGGGTTCCTTGCACATCCCCAACTTTATTAACCAATTAAATACAATAACAACTGAATGAATGAACAGAGAACAATGTCCGATTAATCTCCTTACTGTCGGCATTTAATAGGACCTCACTTGACTTTCCTACACCTCCGACAAACTTCCAGATGGCTACCAGCTATGGCATAGCATCCAAGGTGATCTCAGATTTTCAAAGGCGAATCCTCTCATATCCTCTCCTTCTCTGCCACCGCCATGCTCACACTGGTGGATGAGTGGATGAAGTGCAAGTCACGTCAACCCCCTTTGGGCCCTTCCACGTGCCGTGCCAACCACGATGAGGAAGATGCACGTCCACTATAGCCAAGGTATGCCTTCTCCTTCACTCTCCTATGTCACTGTCCTCCTTCACCATCTGCTTCCTCCTCCTTCCTTCCTCTTCTCCCTCCTCCCTTCTCCGTTCCTCCTCCTAGCTGCTGCTTCACACTGCGTCAGCCAAGCTCCCAGTCCAGCAGCCTGTGTACCGCCAACTGAGGGAAAGAGGAGCAACTCACAGCTACTCCTGATATTTTGGCAGCCGTCCAGCGGCCTATCTACCTGGACTGAGACTGTTTTACGGAGTGCATGCGGCCAGTACCTTCCTGATTGCTCTCCTACTCCTACCGGAACTCAGGAAATACTTTGGCCTATCCCAAGTCCTATTCTGTCTTCCCTGCCTACCCACCCAGTACTGCCTACTCTCAGCCTACTTGTAGTCTAGCAGCCTAGCAGCCCACTACCCGCTGCACAGGCCACCAACATGGCAACAGCCATCAGTGCCAGGTGCGAGAGGGCCAAGCCAACATACAGGCCATCACACCCGGTCACACACAAAATTTTGTAAATATCAGAAAGGAAGAAGTAAAGGCTACACTTAGACAAGCACACAGGACACATATATCAGCAACCACAATACGATGAACAGACTCAGATAGCAGAAATCCCAGCAAACACATAGAACAGCTGCATGAACTCAGAAAAGCACCGAAATCTTAGCCTGAAATTTTGCGGGTTATTACAGTGATGTTGAAACTTGAAACCATCTTCAGATGAACACCACCAATACATATATAATTCTATAATACTCACTGTAGGGACAGAGACGGGTCCAAAGAGTGTAACTTTGTGGCTAAATGCACAATTTCAAGTTTTAACTGTTAAAATCAATCACGAGTTTGAGCTTCGATTCCAGCCAGGTCATATGGAGAAAAACCCCAAAACAAACTTGTTCTTAGCTCTGAGCATCAGGCACTTTTGGCATATAACCGAGCTGGACATAATTCCATGGTTCACTCCACCATAGCACAACCAACAGATTCCACATCGAGTGTAATCTGCCTCTTCCACCTTAGAAGTTGTACTCTTAACTCACCAGCTTTAGCAGACCACTGCTTGTATTATACATTTTGGGAATTTCCGTTGGCGATATTTCTTCTCTCTCTTCATGAAGCTGACTCTCTGCTAATTGGCTCAGCGTATATGTGACCTGTGTGTATTGAACAAGGAGCATATCGCAAGACGCAGGGAAAAGGCAAGCACATGCCGTAGCAGAATACCGTCAGAGATAAAACGCCCATCATGGCACTGTTCAACTATATTCATGTCAGAATGTAAACACTAGACCCTTGGATTTTGTTATAAATGGCATGACAAGTTGTCTGAAAATTAGGGTCTCCGTTAACCACCTCTCCCTGCTCATGCATGAATGGGAACTGTTCAGGTCCCTATTCATGCTTGAATAAACAGACTGTTCTTGTCCCTGTTCATGCCTAAATGCAAATACTAGTGAGATCCCTGGTCATGCCTGAATGAGTATTCTATTCATGTACAAATATGAACATAGAGAGCACTGTTAACCATGAGTGGTCCAAATATGGGTCCCTGTTTTATGTGCTCCCATTGTGCTTGACACTTTCTGCTGAACTCCCTGTCATTGCCTGCCAATGCTGACTCTACTGGAAAAAGGTACAGTAAGCACAGTAAAATCCGAATGCACGACAGGGATCAAGACCCAAGCCACCCGGGGAGAAAGAAAAGAGGACCCAGATTAAGCTCCTAAAAGGAAGGACGGAAAACAGAAATGTCTCGCTAACGTGGCACCTGCCACAAACTAAACGTTCACATCGCGATAACCAACCATGCAGGAATACTTCCCATGGCAAATAAGAAACACCCCGCCATCACTTAAATCGGTTCATGCCTGAAAGGCCTTGCCGGCAGGACCAGGTCGGGATGGAACCCCAGGGGAGCAAATAAGTGAAACCATGTCAAGCTTCAAGAAGAACAAGCGGAACAGTTGAGAGCAAGAAAATGAACACCAAGAAATAATGAGAAAGTGAGAGCATCATATTAGAGATCAGGAGATCGTTTTTGTCTGACCTTAGGGTACGGCATGGAGGGAAGAACTGCAAGTTGGACTGGAGGAAGAACAGTCGAAGCGACAAGGTGCATAGGCCAGGATGACCTTGAGGAGGAAAAGGAGGAAAAGAAGAACTCTCAGCCGGAATATCACAAACTCCGAGGAGTAACGAAATGGCCAAGACGTAATTTCGACCACAAAGAGGTGGGAACAAGAGATTGACTTCCCTGAGATTCGATCTGATGGATGTGCTTCAGTCGGGATAGGGCTTCTGTGGTCACGGTTGGGACTCTAGGGGGAAGGGTGGGCGTGGTATTGGGGAGCCTTACTCTACAGGGGCGCTGCAAGGTGGGAAGTGGCTGCCCTGTCGGGGGTAGGGGCAGATTTGTGGTTTGTCCTTGTCTGGGGCCGGGGTGGGAGAGTTGGTCGCCTTCAACCCCGGCGGGGGCAGATAGGGACAAGGGGAGGGCGAAGGTATCCTCCAGGAGGGAATTGGCTGCCTTTGCGGAAGGGGGGGAGGAGGAGGTTTGTTCCAGGTTGGGGCCGAGGAGGTTTTCCTCTGCGGTGGCAGCATGGGACAGTGGGCAGGGGGAAGTTTCTCTGAGCGGACTCTTTTGGAAGCTTCTTGGATCGGATTTCTCCTGTTATGCCTGGTAGTTTGAAGAATTTCTCAGGTCTCTGAGGGTTTGCCGGTGGGTTGTGCGAAGCTGCACTGGACTTAGAGTGTTATATTCAGGATCCGTGGTTGTCCAATGCCAGAACGACGCTGGCCGGAGCCGGGGTGATGCCTTGCAACTTGCCGAATGGTGAGGGCATGAGGCCTTGTACAGAGATCTGGGGATGCTATGCGGGGGGCATCCTAAAGGACAACTGGGGGTTGCTGACACATGACAAAAATGGCCGGAGCTGGAGTGAGTCGCGCTGCTCTGTAACCTAGCAGTTAGGGGGCGTGAGGCCTGGTTGAGTTTGTCAGAGAATAAGTCAGTTCCGGTGAGCTTTGTTAGGATCTGTTGGAAATCCCTTCGATACTTGAGTTTTTTGAAAAACTGCTGTGGGTTTCACGAGGTGCTTAGCAATTGTAGTTTTATATACTAATCACCATCATCATCATCATCATCATTATCATCAATCATCGGATAATAATAATAAATAAAATAAAAAAAAGGAAACAGGAGATTTTTCCGAGGGCACACCACGGGACTGAATTCAATGGTTCCAAAAGAGGACAGAAAAAAACGGGAAGGGAAGGGAGTTTTGATTCCTACTATATCTAGTAAATAAATGGAGTCAGGTAAGCGAGATTCTGAAACAGTGAATAAACGTCAAAAAGGCAAGTTCTTTTCTCGCCAAAAGGGGGGAAGTTCATCATTCAGATGGTACCCGCTTTGATATGTGAATGCTCGTATGGAGGAGCCAGCATCGGCATTCATCATCAACTTGCATTAAGTGCAGTTTTTTATTTGCTAATTTGAAGTTTGAACGTAAGACAATCCGCTATAGAATGGAGGAGCCATGACACAGTAGGACACTTCGGATTTAAGAAGACGTATGCTAATGTTAGAGAACGGTTTGAATGGAAAGGAATGAATGAGGATGTGCTAACCTATGTGCGAACATGTCTTGTTTGCCAAAGGAACAAGCCTTCGCATGAGAATCCACTGGGACTATTGAGACCACTAACTATTCCAAGTGAGCCAAGTGAGTCCATCTCGATTGACTTTACGAGTCTCACCAAGAGTCAGGTAATGGTCATTGTTGATCGATTCTCTAAATATGCTATATTTCATTCCTCTGCCTGCCGAAGCAAGACCGAAACTCGTCATCCAGAAGTTCGAGATGCGATGGGTTTCGGAATATGGATTTCCAAAAACCATCGTCTTTGATCGGGATGTTCGGGTCACTAGCCAACAATGGCAAAAGTTGATGGAGGCATACGGAACCCGGTTGACAATGCCGTCAGAAGACATCCTGAAACGAATGGACAAACTGAACAGATGAACCGTCTGTGCCAACAACTTCTGCGAATGTATGTAAACAACTTTTGTGAATGTATGTAAGGCCAGACAAGATAGATTACGATGAGAACTTGCCTAAGATTGCAAGTGCGTACAACAATAGTGTTCACACAGTGACTGGCAGAACATCGAACGCACTTCACAAAGGATGGAAGCCGCCACGTCCCATTGATGCTTTGACCCGGGACCGAGTCCTACGGCTACCCTCAGTAACATGAGAGTTTGCAGTTATGCATGAAGAAGATATAAAGAAAGTTAAACCACTAGTACCTCGCCCAGCTATAAAGAAAAGTCGCGGCCGTTAACGCGCCGCGACTTTTGGGGGTCGGGCGAAAAACGCCCGGTCGCTGACATTTCAAAAAAAAAAAGAAAAAAAAAAGAGATTCGAAACAAAATAAAAACAAAAGAAAAACTGCACCGCGTGCTGGGTGGGGGTGAGACTCAGAAAACGCGCGCGCACACACACACATACACACACACACACACACGCACACACACACACACACACACACACACACACAGTCCCGGCGCGTTCGCCGGGTGGCGCTGCAAATGCGCCGTCTCTCTCTCTCTCTCTCTCTCTCTCTCTCTCTCTCTCTCTCTCTCTCTCTCTCTCTCTCTCTCTC